TTCTGTATTAAGCATGCTTTTTTTCTCTGCTTGTTGTTGTTAAGTTCCATCTAGTCGTCGTCGACTCCTGGTGACTTCATGGACAAGTCTTCTCCATCTTGATCTTTCCCTTGTTGTCTCTCGTAGCTAATCCAGCTTCATTTCTGTGACTTTTTCTATTTCTTCTATCCATCTTATCCGTTGCCTTCCCCTCTTCCTTCTACCTTCCACTTTTCCCAGCATAATAGTCTTCTCTAGGGAAACTTCTTTACGCATCACATGTCCAAAGTAGGTCAATTTTTGTTTTAAGATTCTTGACTCTAAGGAGAAGCTTGGCTTAATTTTTTCTAAAATTGAGATATTTGTTTTCTTTTCTGTCCATGGAACTCTAAGTAATCTTCTCCATACCCATAATTCGAATGCATCTATCATTTTTCTTTCCTTTTTCCTTAGAGTCCAGCTTTCACAGCCATATAATGTTACAGGGAAAACCATTGCTTCTACAATTCTTTTCTTAGTATGAATGGAAATGTCTTTATCTTTCATTATCTTGGTGAGATTTGCCATGGCTGTTCTGCCAAGATTAATTCTCCTCCTGATTTCTCCTTCACAACTTCCATTCCTTTCTATCTTTGAGCCCAAAAGTATGTAACTTTCTACCACTTCAATTCTTTCACCATCCACAATGAAATCTTTTAACTCTTTAGTTGACATTACTTTAGTTTTCTTTACATTTAGCTTCAAACCAAATTTAGCACTTTCTTCTTTTACCCTTATGATAATTTTTTCTAAATCTGCTTTGCTTTCTGTCAAAAGGGTGGTATCATCTGCATATCTTATATTATTAATAGTTTCGCCTCCAATCTTGATACCAATGGACTCTTCATTTGTAGTAACCATTCTCATGATATATTCAGTATATAAGTTAAACAGATATGGAGACAAAATGCAGCCTTGTCGCACCCCTTTCTCAATTTTAAAGCATTCAGTTTCTCCGTATAGAGTTCTTACTTTTGCTTCTTGTTCATTGTAAAGACTCATCAATAAAGATATAAGGTGTTCAGGAATTCCCATGCTCCTGAGTACTTTCCATAACTTGGAGTGATCCACACAATCGAAGGCTTTACTATAGTCTATAAAACAAAAGAAGGCGTCCTTCTGGTACTCTTTTGCCTTTTCTAGAATCCATCTGATGTTGCTAATTTGATCGCGAGTTCCTCTTCCCTTTCTAAATCCAGCCTGTTCCAGTGGCAATTCTCTTTCTAAATATGGCTCAATTCTCTTCTGTATTATTTTTAACAGAATCTTACTTGCATGGGGAATTAGTGCGATTGTTCTATAGTTGGAACATTCTCTTGCATTGCCATTTTTTGGGATTGGTATAAAAATGGATTGCTTCCACTCCTTTGGCCAAATCTTCTTTTCCCATATTTGTTGGCATAGCTTTGTTAGTATTTCTGTGCTTACATAGATAAATTACTAATCAATCCATTCTCTAAAATAATTGCCTGTGCATATGACATTAAAATTTTATCCAATGATCCTTCTTATGTGCAAGCTAATATCAATTCTTTATACTTCACATTTGCCAGTTATAATTTAAAAATCAATATCCATAAAACTGTTATTATATGCTTTTCCCTAATTTGCAATCCATACCACCTTTCATTATATATCGACTCCACTAAAATAAATTATGTTCAGTCTCATTGCAACCTTAGTATTATTAATATATTCAATGAAAAATTAATCTTTCATGAACATATCTCTTACATTATTAAATCACTTGCAAATAGAAGTGGCTTTATTTGGTGTTTCTGTAAAAATATTTCTTTAAAATCTGTATTCAGAACCATTTTCTTTACTAATTTTCAGTCAATAGTTGACTACTGTTTACCTATCTGGACAATAACTGCCCCATATCTGTTTCATAAGTACAATCTGAATTATATAAAGTTTATTTCCTGATATATAAATTCTGTAATCTACCCTATACTGATAACCACGATGCAGAAAGAGTTTGCCTTGGCCTTCCTAATCTTACAGATCATTTAAAATACTTTAATCGCATTTTCTGCTTTAAATATTTCAATGGTCAAATCCAAACTACTGGTTAGGTCTCTGCATTCCAATCATAAGAATCCACAATACTTTATGCTTCTTCATCCCATGCTTTCGTCTTTCTCTCTCACAAAGATCTTTTCTTTTACTGAATAGCCTCTCATATACATACTGTTGAACTGTATCTATATCGTGAGTTTAACTTTTTTAAAAATAAATGTAAATCCGTTTTGTATAATACATAATGTAATTGTTTTATTTTTCATGTTTATAATTTTTATTGTGTCTTTTATACTCTGTTAATATTTTATTGGGGATTTTTCTTTTTTCTTGTTATCAGGGGGGTGGAATCCAATCATCTCTGATATTTCCAAATGTAGTAAATAAATACATTTTTACTCTTCTAATTTACAGTGATCAGTGATAAAAGTGCTCTGATGAAGCAGTTTCTGTTAAAATAAATTAGTATATCCATGTTTTGTAAACTGATTTTGTTTTTCAATTTTAAACCTTAATTAGAAGTATATATTTTATAGACATGGATTTCTGTATTACTAAAAATATTGTATTAATTAGTAAACAGAAATTAGTAAATTTGGGTATAAGGCATGAAGCAAACGATAAAATAGACATTCAAAGTAAAAACTCATTCTCTGTTCTTGCAAGCATTACTTTGCATTCTGTACAGAAAGCTGTTTTAAAGAAGTTATTTTGTAATGTCCAAAATATTCAAAGGATATATATTAGTAACGAATATTCGGTTACTATTCGGTATTCGGCCTATTTTTCACTATTCGGCCGAATACCGAATACCTAAAAACAGGAGTAATAAATAACAAAAACACAGTAAATTAATCATTTTGGTATTTAGAGTTAATGTTATAGAGTTAGTGTTGTTTGTTTATATTTATTTATAACTTGTAACATGCACAAAATAAAAAAGAAAATAATATTAGTCACATGTATTCACAATTTATAATTACAAAGATCAGCACACATACACGTCTATTGTTGGAGAATCCTCGCACATCCGAGGGTCTGACCCTGCCTATCGTTCTTTTTAAACGCTCGTCTTTGCTCTTCTCTTTCTCTTTCCTCTATAGCTCTAATCCATGTATGCCTGTGCATACATCACAATACACACTCACGATACTTTCGATTCGTCACTTTTTCATTGTAGAGTTCCCATTTTACAATTACATGACTCAGCCTGGTGATAACAGAGAAAAGAGACAGATAGGACGTCGATATAAGTCACAGTTATGATTTCACAGATTCGAGACAGCTTGATAGCCCGAACGGCCCCAGGCTTTCGCCCGTGCATGCTAAGTGACTTTCATTGCAAGCATTTAGCATTCCGAAGTCTATGACAACAATTGTTTGGCATTGACGGCCGTGAATTTCGTGCCAATAAGCTGCCTCGATTTGTTTGATTATGTTATCAACTCAGTTTCATATTTATTTTTACATTTTCACTTTTCGGTCCTTCTCTGTTCTTTTTCCGTTATTTACACGTGTAGGTCATTTCATTGTTATCCACATTTGATATCATCATTTATCACATACTTCCATGACACTCTTGTCTGTCCGCTACAACTGCCAAGAATTAACGCGATTGGCGAAGTGTAGTGACAGCGGGCCAATAGAGAGCAGGATCCTTGCCATAATACGGTTTGCGTGCCAATTTTCGTACATGCGTTAATCAAGCCGAATAGTTTGGCTGAATATTCGGTTATTTGGCCATGCTCCTGGCCGAATATTTGGTATTCGGTATTCGGCCATACTATTCGTTACAACACTAATATATATACATATTTACTTATTTTGAGCTAATCCAATTTGACAAGCTGTTTATAAACAGCTTGTCAAATTGGATGTAGCTCAAAAAATAAACACCAACAGCAAAAATCTAGCAAATAAAACACTACTATACTAGACAAACAAATATCTTCAATTGTCATAAAAGGTCATTATCAGGATCTACCTGCAACATTTGAATTGTAATTAGAATAGATTTTAAATAAAAAGAACACAGATGTTATTGGCTACAACATCACATGTAACAGATGATGTATATGTATTAGATCAGCAAATATTGTTGGTGCTGTGAGGGGTTGGAGGAACCTCAATTAACACTTTGTAAAAAGATTCTCAGTAGAAGTCTATTCAACCATTTAAGATAGTTGAAAATGTTTGTTTATCTAGTAAAGCATTTTGGTTGCTGGAGTTTTCGTGTTGGTATGTTTTTTTATGAAATATATGTTTCTACTAGTGTTTTTATTTTATCCACTTTTCTCGCACCTGAAAAACTGATTTCTGCTTATTGATAACATCTACATGGTTAAAAAACAAAACTTTTAAATAATCCAGCAAATCATTTTTAATATCTTAAAAATCTATATGGTTCACATCATTTTACAAATTTAATATTGTGTAAATGTTCATAAAAAAATTACTGTTTGCTGTTGTTATTTCTAATATCATAAAACATGAGTTTAACATTCAAGTAAATATAACTAAATGTTTACTCTATAAAAAATATGTTAAATATATATAAATATATAAAAAAATGTTCGTCTTTTGTGCTGAATAATATAAAACCTATGTTTTGTCAATTAAATCTTGACAAAGAACCTTTAATATGCAGCTATTTTTATTAACTTTTTAAATGTTTTAGACTATAGAACAAAAAAAAAATTAAATGATTCCAATTTCTATAAAACGTTCTTATGTTTTGTTTTAATTTAAATTAATAAGAAAATAAAACAAAAAATTGATATTTATTTTACACCAAAAAAATTTATAAATTTACATATACAATATTTTTATTTGCATGATAAAATGCAATGTCTGAATTGTCCTGAAATATATGAAATAAGAAAACATATTTATTTTTATTTTAGATATATTTTATATTATAGTGTTTTCGTTATTTGAATGTGTTGATATAAATTTTACAGAGCGGACCAAAAGTCAAAGCTTTCAACATCACTCCAATTGGAAAGAAATCGTCAAAACGTGAGCAGCAAAAGTTGAGAAAACATGTGAGTATTGATTTGAAAATTATTTATTAAAATTACTCATTGGAGATTCAGTATTTTTGTTGTTGTCAATACACTGTATCATAAATATAACATTATTACTTTCCTGGCTATTATATATAACAGAGGGAAAGTATGGCTATCGATAAAAAAAAATAACCTCTCCAGATTTTTACATTTTTTGGACTTGGGACCTTGAAATGTTGAGAAATGCAAAAAAGTCTGGAGATTTTTTTCTGTACTGATGCAAGTGTGTGTATGGGGGGCACAATTTTGTTCACCCTCTGTAAAGCTTAATAATTTCTGTGCTTTTTTGCCAAAAGTTTCTGAAATTTTGCAGGGAGGTTTGTGTATTAGAGGGGATTGAGGAGGTGGAGAGATAGAGAGGATTGTGCATATCTCCAGTAGAGTTGGACTTTGATTATTTTACTTGTTATTAGCATTTAAAATTTTTTATAAAACCCGCCCTACCCTCAAAATTAAATTTTTTGTGATTTTATACTAGTTAAAAATGTAAAGTTTTTTTAAAATGAAATATCATAACAGATACTACTGCTACCAGAATTTTAAATGTTGCCAGTAAAATTAAGCAATTCAGTGCTAAATTTTTTGCATTTTAATGGACTCACATTACTGTATTCCTCGTCTCAATTAATGGAAAATGGCAAAGTTTTATGAAAATCGATTTATTAAATTTTGAAAATGAACTCAATTCTATAAACTCCAACAAGATGTGTTAGCGATCATGAAACATTGCACAACAAAGTCGTGCAATTTATACGATATTGCTTTGTCGTGTGCACTTGTGAAATGACCTTATATCTTGAAAATGAAGAAATTAAAAGACCATAAGTGCACACAAAGTTTGCATGAAAGGAATAAAGGGGCATATATTCTTGTGTAGTAAATGACAAAGGGAGCACTCTTAATGTTCCTAAACAATTAAAAAATTTGTCTACAGAAAGTCAGTCATTAATCTAATACTAATATTGAAAATATTTAAAAAAACTGCTGTTTTATTTATCATTGTTACATATGATTAAAATATACACAGTTAAATGATACGTATTTTTGATTTAAACAAATATGTTGTATTCATAAATCAAAGTTCATATTACAACAATTTATATTAGGGAACAACATAGTTGAACTATAGCATGTGAAATGGAACACATTTAAAATTTGAAAATAAATGTTTTTACATTAAATACATTGAGAGTATGTAAAAGTAAAGAAAGATTATTATTTGTGAATGTGAAGAAGTGTACATACACAAATGAAATCAAAACTACAATTGTAACAAACAGTAGATGGTGTGTACAAAATTGTAGTAGATATGTCAGCAATCTAGAAGCATTAATATTGGAGAGTTTATCAATTTCAGTTTTATAATTAAAAGTTTTCCAAATTTGTTACCGAATTTTAAAGATTCGTTAATGCTTATCATTAGTTCCAGTAATTGAGTAAAAAGATATCTTTGTTTTTCAAATTAAAAACATTGTTTGTTTAGGATAGTATTTGTCAATCCTATTCTGTTTGTTTGTTTGTTTGTTTTGATTAACTGTTAAGATGCTTGTAAAAGGCCAACCTGGCCACAGTGTCTTTTGAAAATAAAATAAAAAAAATATTCCAAGTGTTCCATAAAAGAAATTTTTAAGTTTTTATTGCAAATTTATACTTTGTTTGCAGACAATTCCTTATTACTATTTTATTCAATAAAGTATATTAGTTTATTACTTTGTTATTTTATGACAATAGTAAACATGAAATTGCTTATTGATTTTTGAATATATTGATGCTAATGTTCCACATAATAAAAATACATGAATGGTGTTTCACAGTCTCAAAGGTCGAGTGTCACTGATTTAGGAACTGTTTTCAAATAGCCTGTCTCTTACTACAATGGTATGTATTTGTTTTCTTCAATCTTTATGCAAGCTGTGTATGCTGTTCTTTTTCATGTTCAGAAATCCATACTATCATCTGTCTAGAAGCCACTTTGATACAGAATTTTCTATTAAAATAAATGTCGAATTTTCAATTATCCTAATTAAAAATATTTCAATTAAGGCCTCTAGAAAGTGGAGAGAACTTTATTTCTAAATAACTACAATAACAACAGAATCATTAAGTCAATAATTAATGTTTATGATGTCGTATTTGTCTAATTATGATAAATTAACAATGACATTGATATTTTTCTCTCCAAAGAAAAATATCAATATCATATTATGTATTTAACTAAAAAATATTTAAACAGCTAAATCTACTTGAGTAATTTTTCTATTACTTCTGTTTGATTGACATTAACAGGGTTCCTACAGGCCATTTTTTTATGGGTAGTTATTTAGTTAATTTGGCTTTTAGGTTCATAGCCAAAACAGAGTTTATGTCAACCAAATTGATTGAAACACACTATACATTTGTTGTGAACTATTAAACAATTGAGCAGTGTTATTTAAATAAAACCAATTACATATTAATATGTGCAGGTAATTAACATTTACTTTAAATGTAATGCCATGTACATCAAAACAAAAGACAAAATAACATCAGAATATGTTATGCTGAATATATTATGTGTGTGTGAATTTGTAATTCCATTTCACCATGTTGTATTTATGTGTAATAAATAATATAATTATCTTCTTGACATGGTTCTAATTCTGATATTTATGTTAAATTTACAATCTGATAAAAGAGCAAATGGAATACATAAAGGATAAAGTAAAAATAATTTAGAATAGTGCAGGATGTTCCTGTTAAATGTCCTTAGTTTTAAATCATTTTGTAAAATTCATTTGTTCCGATATGTGAATGTGTTGGAGAATGTTGGTCAATACTTCAAGTTACACATGTGTATGCTTGAAAGAACTGCTGCTGCAACACAGTGGTGATCTGGACCTCAATTGCTACACAGTCTAGGTCAGCGGGGCTTCATTTCTTGATCTGTCGGTCCCTCGACATGATCTTTTTGAACACGTTCTTCTTTATAGGCATATCAAGGATCATGTGTATGCTACAAAAGTGTCAGACACGAGAACCCTGCACATAAGAATTATAGAAGTCATTAACAGCATGACTGCTAACATGCTTAAAGGGTTTAAGCTGTTGCTAGTTTTTTTGCTAAAATGCTACAAGAATTTAGGCTTAGTGACAACTTTCTTGGCACATTTCATTAAAAAACTAACATTTTTCAAGTGGTTAGTTCTATTTTCCAAGTTTTAACTAGGAATGGGATGATACCAAAATTTCTTCTGATTCCAATTCTTTTTGAATACTTTAGAAAGTTTATTTTAATTTAGAAAAGTTATTGCTTTACATTACAAGCATGATACATTCATTAATTAATAGACATCAAGCTTAAGAATGGAAAGCAATTGGGAAATCCAGAATTGATCTTTCGAAAGAAACCTGAAAATTCTCCATTTCTATATAGATACACATGCTTTTATTGTGTAGTAGAAAATAAATTTATAATCTTATTGCAGATAAAGTTAATATTAAACACCATCCTCAAAGAAATTACAGCTAATTTCATTCACTGAAGCCAGGTTTTCCTAAATTTACAATTGCATGTATTTATTTTAGGAAAGGAAAAATCAAACAAATGCCTAGACTGATTCATCTTGAAAAATTGATTTTTAANATGTTTCTACTAACTTAAACCAACTCTTTTGATCTAATAAGCAAGCTGCAATATGAATAATTATCTCGATTCTAAAAGAAGAAAGCACGATTGTGACAAACTCTCAATTGAGGGAGTCCATCCTCAATCTGGAGAGTTGAATCCTTCAAACTGAAAGTTAGTTTGCAATCTGAAAGTTATGTTTGGTGAGGCAGGAAAGGTTTTCCCCCAGGAAACATTGAAATATCTACAGCAAGAGATGGACATGACACCAAAAAATTTGTAAACGCACTGAATTTATAATGGAAAAGTCATTTTATCATTAAAAAAACACTTCTGTAGAGACTGAAACTAATTTAGTTTGAACAACACCTTAAATACTTTTTTCAGCAACACTTTAATTTCTATAAATGAATGTTTCTGACCTCTTTTTACAGATTTGTGTAGGTTTAACAAAACAATTTGAACTGTCTTAAACAGTCAAATCTTGTTAAACCTTGTGGATCTGTGAAAAGAGTCAAAATGTTTGTTTAAACAAATTAAAGTGTTGTCAAAAAAGTATTTAACGGGTTGTTCAAGCATTTCATTACAGGTAAATATACTAAATAAAAAATAATTTTATCTAATATTTTTTCAATTAAAATATAATTTTGTTCTGTGTTAAAGTTCTGGACATTTGTATGGATAAGAAATGTTAGCTATGGTTTCTAAAATTTTGCTACTTTTTTAGTAGAATTAACTAAAATGCTACAGAAAATTTTTTCTCAGCTTAAATCTTGCACACTGGCACTGTTAGGATGCATGCTGCATCCTAATGTATCTGCCATATCAAGTGCATATGTGGAAATGTACTGCTTTAATATAGTAACTAATTCAGATGAACTTTCTATTCCCACAAATAGTAAACACCTAACAAACAGCACAACTGCAAGATGTAAAAGTTATAGACGGCAATCTCTAAAAGTAAGAGTGCATTCTACTGGGGGAAGATAAGGCTCATTTTAAACTGAAAAATTGCAGTCTGTTCAACATTGCAACTAACCATATGTTGAATAAAGTGTTGAGTGTTGCATATAAAGTAAAAAAATATACTGAATGTATAATAGTAATGAGAATAACGGGCAAATGAAATAAAATAAAAATTACTGGATTTATTCCATTAATAGTTGCTTTCTAATAGTAAGTACACTGTAATAAACAGCATAGCTGTAAGATGAAAAAAGTTATATGCATGCTCTGTTTATTAGAATGAATACCATATATTACACTTCAAAATTATTGAAAACTCTTTGAATATGCTATTTTAATATTAAAATTTTAAACTACTGTTTAAATATTAAAATACTACATTGTATTAAATAAGTGTTTATTTAATAAGTCTCATCCAGGAGTCCATATTTGTTAAGTTATACAAATATGGCTACGAAATTTGATGTAAATGAGAATTATTAATTTTTTTAATTGCTTTATTGACACTACTAAAATTAATTTACTACATTAAAGTTGCTAATTAATTTAAAAATCTTTATGTTACATTTAATTACTAAAATATTATCTTAAATTTGTTTAAAAGGAGGAAGAAAAAGCTGCCGCAGAAGTATATGAAGAATTTGTAGCATCTTTTGAAGAACCGGCTAAACATGGGAAATTGTTTGTACGTGGCAGTGTTATTAATGCAGGATCAGGAGGTTAGTTATTTTGTAATATGTAGCAAATAAATTATATACACAATGTGCATATATTTTAATCAATTCAAATTTGTGTAATAGGTATTGATGAAACAAAAAATATTGCAATATTTTTGAAATTCAGCAACAAAATTATGAAGCAAATGTTTAATCCAAACTCAAATAGACTAAATTATTTCATGTTTTCAATACACATCTGAAGATGGCTTTTTAATCAGGTTGAAAACATTAACATTTTTTAAATAATGGCTAGATGGTTGAGTGGTTAGGTGGCATACTGCTGCTCTAGGGAACCCTATACCGGGTTCCCTAGAGCAGCAGACTGCCACCTTAACCACTAGTTGGGGTCCCTAGTAAAAATTAAATTTATTAAATGGCTACCCCAGCCAGTTATAAAAAACATGGTCTTTAGAATATAAAATTTTTAACTTTAATGTCAAATATAGAAATGAAAATAATATGTATGTACGGTACCATTTCTTTATATAAAAAGTTTATTTGAAAAATATGAAAATAAATTTAAAAATTTTGAGATTGTTTTAGCTGATAACCTAAAAAATAAAATTAAACTTAGTGAAATAAAAAAGAAGGAAATTATAGAAGAAGCTGGGGTAATCTAAAATTTAAATTGCACAGGTATAAATCTGCTTAATTTATATAGGTGAAATAGGAAGAAAATTGAGAATTAGAATTCATGAATAGGAAGTTGTAATTAGATTAAAATATAAACAGTCCTCATGGTTTAAACATTGTGATGAATTTGGATGTACTATTGATGATAATAATATAAAAATTCTTTATAAAGAAAAGAATTTACATAAATTTAAAGAACATGTTGCAATCGAACATGCAAATAACACTATCAATTTAAATAATGGAATTGAAACAGAGGGCTCATGGCGGGATATTGTTTGAAATAAATACCCACATAAAGACGAATGTCAGTCAGTAAATGATGTTCGATTGGAAAATTTGTAAAAAAGATTAGTTGTAAGTTTGTATTAATGTCATTGAAATTTGTAAATTTTAAGATTGTATATTTTTATGTTTACAGCCTGAAGAGGGTTGTAAAAGAACTTTTTGCAAAATAACCCGAAATGCATATTTTGGGTGATTTTGCACTTTGGAAAATAAAAAGAATATTGTTTTTTGCTTTTTGCCCTTAATTTCATTAAATGTTTCTACTAACTTAAACCAACTCTTTTGATCTAATAAGCAAGCTGCAATATGAATAATTATCTCGATTCTAAAAGAAGAAAGCACGATTGTGACAAACTCTCAATTGAGGGAGTCCATCCTCAATCTGGAGAGTTGAATCCTTCAAACTGAAAGTTATGTTTGGTGAGGCAGGAAAGGTTTTCCCCCAGGAAACATTGAAATATCTACAGCAAGAGATGGACATGACACCAAAAAATTTGTAAACGCACTGAATCTAGAAGAAGAGGGCGATCGAGGAGAAGAAAAATTGGAAAAGACAAGAGAAGAGTTTGATTTATAAACAAATTTTTTTGCATTATTTTCATTGATTGATATTGCAGAAAAATTTGTTGATTGATTTAATTGATTAATACCAAATGATCTACCAAATTAACATAGCCAAAACATAGCCTGATAATTTGGAAGATTGTTTGGTATTTGAAAATTGTCAAAGTTTTACATTTGCTCATCACAGTTTAACTCTTCTGCACCTTGCATAACATGGCGCACATCCAACTGATACTCAAATTCTTCATATGTTTGCCATAGCATATCCATTGTCATTCTTTCCACAGCAGCCAAAATTCTACAGCTTCCGCTGCTCTTGCATATTACTCATGTTGTACAATGATGAGTAACTGACTTTGCAAATTACAGAATACAAAATGCCTTCTCTATTGCAGAGCCACCATTTTCATTTACTGTGCTTCCTAAAGGTGGTAGACAATAAGACGTTTGAAAGCTGATGGGAGATGAGACTCTCACAGTTTCTCTGTCAATTAGTGTACATCACATGCTTTTGGGATAATAATTAAGTGTAAATTACTATAATTATTACAGTAATTTAAAATGTTAGCATTCTTTTTGAAAATCCTGTAATTTTTGTTTTTTTTTATATAGATAAGGTATTATAAACAATGTTTTAAAATAATGGTCATAAAAACACATGTCATCAAAATAGTAATGAATTTCTTATATATAATCTTTTAAAAACAGTATTTTATGTGAATGGATATTTAATTTTACATTCTGATATATACAGGGTGAGTCATAAGTCTACATATAAATGGTTAAAGCAGTGACTAATGTTTATTTTATTTATACAAATGGTATCATATGATGCCAACAGAATAATGTCAATCTGTTCTTCCTTCATTAGTGACATTTCTTTTCAATTGGTTCACCTTCTGAAAATGAAAAAGAAATTAGTCACCACTTTCACCATTTGTTTGGAGATGTATAATTCACCTTGTATTGTGGATGTGAATGTATTTCTTGCTCTTATTTTGAAATTGTAATATTTTAAATTAATTTTAATTACAAATACTGATTTATGCTTTTTATTTGAACAGAAGAAAAGTTGACAGCTCAAAGTGGAAAAATTTACAAGCCACAAAGAATGATTGAAATAACAAAAAAGGAAGAAAAACCAGAAATTCAAAGAGATAGATATGAGAAACCAGAAAAACCAGTAAGTTTAAACTATGGAGATGATAACAGTACTTACTAAGTAATGAGCTATATGTATTCATACATATACAGTAGAACCTCCATTATCCGGATTTTCGATTATCTGGATTGTTCAAAATACACAAAAATTTTACGAATTTGCTGATTTGCACTTGGCGAATTACGACAATGTTTATGTACGTGATGGAATGCATAACTTTTTTTGTTTCAACAACGTCTCACCCAGCACAGTGGTCGTAAACTCTTAAATATATTTTACGTAGTAATAAAAATATAACTTGACATACATATTTATAAATAATTTATATTCAAATTACATCATTTCTATGACCAAGGGTAACGTAAGGCATGGACGACGTGGGCCACCGCCTATGCCTCGCGCTTCGAAGGTTTACGCATTACTTAAAAGCCGCGAACGCGATGAAAAAATTTTACTCGTCATAAAATGATAAATAGTTTGTCAAATTTTTTTTCATAAAAATGCAGTTTCAACTGCTTTTTATTTTATAAAATCCGTCTTCTTGCGCCACCAGAGGGCCTTTTAAACAATAGGTAGTTTGTTAGCATTGGTCAGTAGTAGTCCAAATTCAATACAAACGTTTGTTTCTTGAAAATTTGATCACGATTTAAATACAGTATTTACTTTTAATATTACCGATATGTCATCGAAAAGAAAACGTGTTGTATTATCATTAAAAGACAAATTAAAGTATTTGTTTCGATTATTCGGATTTTTTCTTATCCAGACTACCTTCATCCCCAATTAGTCCGGATAATAAAAACTATTTGATTATAATACAAATAAATTAATATCAAACAAATTTATACTATGATTACTACATACATTAGTTTATTTTCTAACATAATCGCCAAAGATAATGAGGCACTTGTCAAACTTTGAGATCAGTATTTTTATGATTTCATCATAATCTTCCTACCATTGGTTCATTCAAAATGTTATTGATAGTGTCTTTGATTTCATTGTGTATTCTTATTCATTTGCCACCCAAAAAATTTAAAAATCTAAAGAAGTAGAGGTCTCTTGGTTAAAAACTTCACAATGAAACTGTTGCAGCATTTCACTTGTAAAATGTTTCATCAGTGGTATGAAGTCATACATTATCATGAATGAAAACAGTCACTGACAACAAAACCCCATACTGTTCAGGATTGCATACTGTACTCTATCTGATGTTTCACACTAAGCAGCAGCATTTATTGTAATTTCTTGGGTATGAATTCATCCAAAAGGACATTCTTTTCTGTTCCAAAACAGTCTGCTATAATTTTCTAAGTTAAAATTGGATTTTTATGAATATACTCATTAAAGAAATCTTTAATGATTATATTTATTAAAGAAATCAAAAATTGAATGGTAAAGAATTTGAATGGCAAAAAGAAAATCTATTTCTCTGCTTATTTAATACATATATTCTGATATAAATATATTCATGAGATCAGTCCTACCACTGTACTACTCATTGTATGGCTAGTAACTAGACATGAGGAAATTTAATATTACTTTCAAGTCTTAACGGAATAGAAATCAGACGAATAAAATAGATGACGATATAAGGCAAAGAACAAGGAATAATCGCAATTGGAAGAAAGATAACATTATTAGGTATGCTACTTGGAATGTTCGAAGCATTAATGGGAAAGAGGAAGAATTAGACTATCTATTCCAGAATGGAAAAATTGACATAGCTGTCACTTCAGAAACAAAGAAGAAACTAAAGGAAAAACAAAAGAAACTAAAAATTATACACTTATTTACAGTGGAGTGAATAAGAAAACTCATGCCCAAGCAGGTATAATGATTTGGGTACATAAATCTCTCAAGAAAAATATCCTTCATTACACATACTGTACAGTGAGAATTATAGAAATCTGTAAATTGACAGAGGTAATTTAACCATTATTGGTACATATGCTCCTGAAGAAGGCCAATAAGAAAATGAAGACTTTTATATAAAGTTGCAAGAAATTCTTAATAAAGTTAACAAGAACGATTACACCATAATAGCATATCTGAATGCAAGAGTGGGAAACATTCCAGTAAATAAAAATATTGGAACCTTTGGAGAGAATACTCGTAATAGAAATGGTATTAGACTCATTGATTTTGTTGTTTATAATAATCTTAAAATAATATAATTTATACATTTATGAATACATTTTATAATCATAAAAATATACATAAATATACTTGGCAATGACAGTAGTCCAAGTCAATCATTGATTATTTTATTGCTAATGAAAAAATGTTAAAATTATTCCTAGATGTCAGATCATACAATTTGAAGTAGGCTCTGATCACTTCCTAACCCAAACAAAATTAAGAATCCACCAAGGTGGCTAAAAAAAGAAACCAAATGTTAGACATGAACAAACCTGAATGAAAATTTAAAGTAAAATTATTATATGATGATGTTTCAAATTATTATATACTAGAAGAATTGAACAACATATGGAGAGAATTCCAGAAGACAGAGATATAGAAAATGAATGGGAAAATATCAAAACAATGATAAAGGCAGCAGCCGATGAGTCTCTGGGCACAGTAAAAGTCAATCCCTGTGGAAGAAGGAAATTGAAAATATGGGTCAATGAAATCAAACAACTAATATTACAGAAAAACACAGCATATAAAAGGCTTTTTAGTAGTAAAAAAAGCTAAGATGCGATAGAATACAAATGCTACAGAGCAATTGCAAAAAGAGAAATAAGGAAAATACAATGACAATAATGAACAAAATTTATTTCACAACTAGAATCAGATCTCTACAAAATAAGACCAAATACCTTCAAAATATTAAAATTTATGAATCAAGAAATTAAAGAATCTATTAAGATTAATTGTGGTGTGACAAATGACTAATTTTTTAATTGTTATCAAACACTTTGGATAGATCCTACATATACTAACAAGATTTTTGAAAGCAACAATCAAAATAGGACTGAATTATCAAAGGAAGAACTGTTTGAAAGTTTAACCAAAACCAAAAATGGAAAAGCAACAGGAGGTAATAGCATAAATGGAGAGTTATACAAATTTGCTGGTGATAAATTTCACAAGAGATTATTAACATTCTTCAATAATGTAGATGAAGCCTGTATACCGCTTGAATGGAAGAAGAGTATTGTACTGCCTATTCATTAAAAAGGAGATAAATGAAAATTAGATAACTACAGAGGCATTAGCCTGCTAAATACCTGTTATAAAATCTATGCTAGAATTATAAATCAATGATTAAAACAAGAAGGTGAAAAATTTCTTTTGGAATATCAAAATGGATTTGAAAAGGCAGATCTTGTATAGACTCAATTTTCTCCATTAAATTATTACTAGAGAAATGAAGAGAATTTAATCTGAATACACATTTAACTTTCATAGATTATACCAAAGCTTTAGATGTGATAAAAAGACCCTAACTTTTTGACATCCTACAAAACAGAAACATACCAAATATTTTACTTCAAAATATTTGTAATATTTATGAAACTAATACCACACAATTTAAGTTCAATAATGCCACTTCAGAATATAGAAGAATAAATCAAGGAGTAAGACAAGGATGTCCATTGTCACCAAAACTTTTTAACATCTGTATAGATGACATAATACATCAATGGCAGGAAGAATTTACATTAGGAATTCAACTTCCAAACAACATAAAATTCAATACCAAGCTATTCGCTGATGATCAGGTTGTAATTGCTAACTCTGAAGATAATTTACAAAAAGGTTTATTTACCTTAAGTAAAATTTCAAAATAATGTGGTATGAAAATTTCAACTGCTAAAAACAAAGTAATGGCATTTAGAGGCACAGAGCCAATATGCAGCAAAATCATAATTGATAATACAATTTTAGAACAAGTTAATAATATTCTTTATCTAGGATGCAATATTTTGTATGAAAGTGAGAATGACATGAATAATAAGCTCACAAAACTTTTACAAATGTTAGAAATAATAAGTAACATTTTAAAACCACACCTTGTACAAAAACATTCCAGACTAAAATTATATAAAACCCTGGCTTTTCTGATTCTCCTGTATGGAAGTGAAATCTGGGTCTTAAAGAAGAAAGATATCAAGACATTACAGACAGCCAAAATGAGATTTATGCTCATTTTGGCTGCTGGCTCATTTCGAACTGCTGGATACACTCCTGGATCATCGTCGAAATGAGGATATTTTGGAGGAACTCCACATGCACCCATTAATTGAAAAACTCTCCACATATAGAGAAAATTTGCTTCAACGTGTATCTTGAATTTTGCAGGGTAAGATACCTCATGGAGTTTTACTGTATGACTCCTAGACCCTGTCTAGCTGAGACCGAAATGAGTCACCATGGCCTAAATATGATGATGATGAAAGATTTTTTTTTAAAGACTTACAAAATAAAAATAAATCAAATATTATTTTCAAATAGAATCATAGATTTGTATATATAAATGTACAGAATGCAGTTAACTCATATACCTATACCTATACATATAGTTTTTAATAAAATATAATAATAATAAGTACAAATAGGCATTATATGAAAAATATGTTTATTTATTACAGAATAAAAAGAAAGAAAAAGAAAAGAAAAAAAGTAATTTAGAATTGTTTAAAGAAGAATTAAAAATGTAAGTACATTATCGTACCAGTTTTCATTAAAATAAAAAAAATTTTTTAAATATCATTTGTTGAATAAATTTAAGTAATTAAAATAAATTGGCAGGATGTAGAAATCTAACATTTAAAGAAATGTGTATAAACATTTTGGAAATATCTTTGACTTCATATGTATATATCTGCTTACTTTGATAGTGGCATAAGTGAAAAAAATGTTAATTTTACAAGGAAAGCATTTAAAAAATTCTAAATGACTAACATTTGAATGTGAGTTGATAACACACATCTGATCTCTGATGGGAAGGGAATTCAATAGAGGTAGAAATGTGCCATTTTATGTACTGTATCTAAAGAGTTTATTTATGCAAAAAAAAGCAAAATAATTTTTTTAGTTGTGCCACTATCAAAAAGAAGCAATGATATGTAAAATTGAATTTGCTGTTGCTTTCAACAGCAAATTCAATCTCTCTGAGTATTGTGTAAGAATGGCTGAACGAATGTTAATGAAACTATGTACATATATTCAGGCTAGTTCTGGGAAGGATATAGGCTATTTTCCATTTCCTAACTTAATGATGGTATAATTCTATCAAAGCTTATTTCATAAGCTTTGATAGAATTATACCATCATTAGTAAGAGAGAAATATAAAAATAGGTATTGTAAAAGTTTTTTCAAATATGCAAAGATCATACAAAACATGCTACATCATTACCTTTATTTGATTTTAAATGCAAAAAATGTTAAAGCTTCACCAGAGGATTTTTTTAATCCCTTTCTCAGTTTTATTTATTACTATGATACAGCTGACTTGCCTTAAAACAAACACCAATAAAACAAATTTTGCCATTACCTTGGCAAAAAGCCATTGTCACAATGTTAATTTTCAAGTGATAAAGTTAACAAAAATTTTACCAGATTTTGTTAAACTGAACTGTAAATTACATCCACAACTAGAAATAATCTTATTTCCAATAACAGTTGCTTTTTACACTTTTGAAGTGAAGAATAAAAAGTAGTATAAGAAATCCTTGTTAGTTCAAAATTTAAGGGACAAACTATCTTAACTTTAAATTATCAAGTTTTGGATTATCTGAGATTTACATAAATCTGTACAATATGCCAAATGTTATGTAACTGATGTAATTTATTAAGCATATGGAATATGGATATGTAAACAGAATGTTATTTTCATCAATTAATAATAACAATATAAATGTGAAGGTAAACAGTATGTATTTGGTGAGAACCTCATAGGTTGCCAGATAGGTTTTATAAAAAGTAAAACAGAATTTCTCGAAATGTAGCCTAAATTACTTTTAAAGTGGCCCAAAAAGTAGTAAGTTACACAAATGTATTAGCCTAGGGCCCTAAAAATAGCTTATTTCAATATGTTAATTATATCCCAATCTTGCAATCCAAAACCTAGCTGTATTTTATGAGGTAAAAGATAAAAAGGGTAGTCCATGGGGTAGTACAGTAACATCCAAAAATGTGTTACTGTAAAAGCAAAGCCATATTGACTAGATTACAGTTGTTGTTGGTCTATTGTTCTCTTGCAGTATGGAGGCACTTTGATCTAAATGAATGGGTTAACATATGTGTATTGCAGTTAAGACAGAATTTTCACTTTGAATTTCAAAGTAGCTATATTTCAAACTAACCAAATTCCTTAACATGTAAATCTATATTTCCGGCCAGGACAAAAATACAGTTACGAACTAACATCATTTTGAATTATCTGTGACAATGCACAAAGTGCCTTCCCCTGTGCTTCGGCACCACAGGACCAAAGGGTCGACATTGCATCGGCAAAGATTACAATGACTATTTCGTCAGGATTGACACCACTGTGTCTTCTGGGTAGACATAGAGACTTTTACGTTCACTTTTACATGCATTTCTTTTGGATAATGTAAGCTTCTGCTTGTAACTTGCATAAAGTGTATATTATATGGATAAAGTTCAAATTAATAGATTGTTACTGCTTTAAGTGTGCTTGGATAAAGCTAGGATTAGTCAGCTAATCCAATTTTTATCTGATTCATGGACTTTAGCTGTAGCATCTACACTATTTTCGATTTGAATTTTTAATATGATTTAATATAAATTAATTGAAATTTATTTTTATATAGTTAATATATGTTAGATATAAAATTCTCCATTAATCTAATAAGATATAAGATCTTAATAATTCAAATAGAAATATCATAAAGAAAAAAATAATAATGTTTAATTAAATTTTTAGCATTCAAGAAGAAAGAGAAGAACGCCACAAATTAAAATCTGCCTTAAAAGAACAGATTAAATGTGGAAAATTAGATCCAATAGATGCCCAAATAAGATTAGGTAAGAATTTTACTAAAATAAAAATATTTAAATTTATATCTTTATGTTTATGAACATGTTTACTTGATACAATCTTTCATTGGTAACCTATTTGATCAGTTTTTGTTGGATAAGAGGAAGGATGCATATTAATTGAGTATAAATTGTGTTATTGATATTTACAATTTTTCATTACATACATTGAATTTTCTTTTGGATCAATTACTATACAAATTTAGAGTATACAAAGCTAAAAAAAAATATGACAAATTTTTTGTTTGTTGAAGTTTTTATTTATAGTTTTCCATAATATACTATATTTTCTCAAAAATCGTATTTGTATGAATCATATGTAGCTTTTCAGTTTAAAATGTTTCATTCTCAAAATATCAGCAAATAATTTTAATTAAAATTTACTTTCAAATGTTAATAAACTTAGAAAATATTAATTTTTCTTTCGTAAATTGAGACATTTTAAATTTGAAAAAATATTTACGAAGTAATTTGTAATTATTGGAAATTATTTTAGATTTAAAAATACTTTAAATTTGTTTAAAAAAGGCTTTCAATTTATATTGTATAAAGTAAAATGTCAGACATCCTCTTATTGATTTTTAATTTATTTTTTTAAATATGCTAACTCTAATTACATTTTTATTAACCTGACCTCAGTATTGATATAACAGTATAAAATTTTTGTACATTTTATTGGAAAAGGAAGAGAGCAAAAATATCCTGAATTTTAGACTCAATAATTATTTCAAATTACAATTTATTTTAAATTAGAAAATCCAATAAATAACAATCCATTCAGTTTTCTAATTTTGATTTTATTGTTGTTTATTTATTTAAAAGTATTTTAGAGCAATGATAGAAAAATTTATTAGGAATTTAAATCATTTAATTCTCATTAATATTTTCAAAATGTTTATTATAATTTTTTAATACCAACAAATTTATTTATTAATATAATAATTATTATATCAAAAAACAGGTGTAACATGTAATAATAATTATTATATCTGTTATACCTGTTTTTTGATGTGATAATATATTTGAATATAGTATTTGTTGATATTATTGAATGCTGTATATATAAATTAACGAAAGATTAATAATCTAGGAATTAATTTGAAAAAATGAACAAGTTATTCTTATTGTATTTATGTTGTGTTTTAGCAGAATGTTTTAAAACAAAGGATCCAAACAAAGAATTAAAAATATATATACACATATATACACTTTTAATTCTGAGAATCATAATCTTCTGTGGCAAATTTAATGTCTCATTTGATGTATTTCAGTTTATCATTCAGAGAAATTTAAATATAGTAAATAAATTTTTATTAAATTTTGCTTATCATCATTCTTAGATTATTTATAAAATGCCTCGTAATTCCATATTAATCACTGAAGCTTAGTTTGAGACCATATGTACTTGCTAAAATAGAGAAAAATGTATTTAATTTGTAATTATAAACATCAGAATGTTATAAAGACAGTTTTCACTGGACCAAAGAATTTTTTTTAAGATAAAAGGATCAAAGTTAAGATTTAACAAATTGAATAACAAAGGATCAAAACAATTTGATTTTCAGAATTAAATGCGTGTGTGTGTATGTATATATATATATGTATGTATGTGCATAAAAACTTAAAAACTACTATGAACATATTTTAAAAAATGGGTACTATAACTAGCCAATTTCTAATATTAATTTTCACAAGTTACATTCAAAATGGTACCAGAAATATCTTTCAACTGTGCTAAAAGCTAATTCACACACATGTATGTGAATTGTAAAACTTATTACTACTATAAAAAAAATTACTTGTCAAGTTAAGTGTTGTTCTCATTAATTTGTTTAATTTGTTGCTTGATCTACAGTGTAGTTTTATTTCACACAAAACTACCACAAAACTGGGTATACTTGAATTAAAACAACTAAAAACCTGAAATCCAACAATTTTTAAAGTAACAAATGTCTTGTAATTTATTAATAAAATTTAGTTAATAATTATGTTAAAAATATACAAACTCTATATTAAATTTGTAATGTACACTAAAAGTGTTAATCAGGGTTAATAACATCAAATTCGACACAATGATGACACTATTTGTAGATGTCGATCAATCCGATCACATCTACAAATAGTGTCGTCATCATGTCGAATGAATGATTTCAGGACAGATGATCGAGTTCAATGGTCATTGTCACAAGTTTATTTTACAGAACTATATACAAGAATTACAGTTACATTGACTGTGGAAACAGTGGTCGGAGCACACAGTGAGGTGAGTGACCGGACAGAAGCGTATCGATCCAAAAAATCAAGTTAGCCACAGTCTGACGTCATGTAGGTTGGGAATGGTGGTCAAACACCATGTTGCCAACCACTGCAAACTAATTGTTCATATAACATTTATTTGAGTTTATTCCTTATTCTACTCTGTAAATGTAATATCGTTGCCTTCCTCTGCAACCCTTTCACTACTAAAAACTTGCATATTTGTGTTAAACTAATATAAAATAGTACGACATTTGATGCTATTAACCCTGATTAACACTTTTAGTGTATATTACAAATTTAATATAGAGTTTGTATATTTTTAACATACAGTAGAGCATCGTTTATCCGAAAGCTGGTTATCCGAAACGTCCGTTATCCGAAAGCTGGTTATCCGAAACGTCCGTTATCCGAAAGCATTCCAGTCGGCAAATTTAAATTTTCGCTAGTGCTGTGGCACTGCAATCTTCGGCTATTTCTCGGGCTACTAAAATATTTTACGTTTTTGATACTAAATTAACATCTGAAGTATAATTTTTTATTGTTTTTATATTTTTCAATATATTTATTTTGTTTGTACAAAATAAAAAAATAGTTTTTAACGATACAATAGTCTTCGTTAGGCTTAACATCAACGAAAATTCAATGCGAAGCGACACGCAACGGAGAGAAATTTCAACATGGGATAAATTAATATATTTTTTCGTACATGATTCGTTATCCGAAAAATAAGTTATCCGAACTACCCCAGTCCCCAATTGATTCGGATAAACGACGCTCTACTGTAATTATTAACTAAATTTTATTAATGTTTATTACAAGACACCCTGACAGTTTCCTTGTAAGTGCTAATGTTTTCACCCATGTTGAATGGGCATCTTCAGGCAGTTGTTACAGCAGCTGGGGGATTAGTTTGCCTGAAGATGCCTGTTCAACATGGGCAAAAACATTAGCACTTAGTTAAAAAATTGCTGGATTTTAGGTTTTTAGTTGTTTTAATTTATTTCATACTGTTCAAACTGAAATAAAACTTATTATGGATGTTGTTTTCATGATAAGCATGTTTATAATGAATCTTATCATAGTTTATAAATTCTTCTTTATATATATTATTTCTACAATAAATTCTTTGTAACATCCTTCAAGAGTATGTATTCAATGCTTCTTTTATAGAAAGAACTATCGGGCAAACATTAACCAAATTTAGTATACTGGTACATATTGTCCTGAGTATGTGGTTTTGATTTTTGGAAAACTTTTTTTGGCATAAAAGTAGTCAGAAAATGTTTTTCACAATTTATTGACAGGTGAACACTCCACTCACTTTGCTTGATTGTAACTTATGTAGGATTGCAGCATTTGAAGGGTTTTACCAATACTGGTATTTTAGATAAAGAATGCTCTCAATGTTGGAATACCAGTATTGAAATTGATATTTAGATTGTAGTGTATGATGTAATATTTAGGTGCACAAAATACATTGAAAGATAACCCATTTTTAACTGTTAGATAAGGCAGCATTGCAGGCAAAGGATTATCCTCACTTTTGGGAAAAAATAATTGGTCACTTGATTTTAAAAGTACTTGTTTTTTGGTTCACTTACTTCTGATCCTGGCCCTGTTTTACACAATTTGACATTATGCACTTTCTGTAAATAAACAAATAGGCATACTGTTAGTTGATTCTCCTTTAGTTTTAATTATTTTGGAACAAGAGCCATCTTTTCCCTTGGAAAAATGCCAAATCAAATTATGTACATTACTTTTGAGATTTTTTTTCCAAAATTTATTTTCATAACTACAAATATACAATAGTTCATACATGTACTTTTATCTTATTCTGCATATTATTAAAACTCACTGATATTTTACAGACTAAAGTTTGTGATTTTGGCAATAAAAGTTAAACTTTACATATCATGATATTATTTGTAGGCTACTTTTTTTATGGTTTCTTATAATTTATTAATTATTTAAGTGTAGGTGTGCATTTGTACCCATAAAAAGTTTCAAAAACACCTTGCATTTTGAAAATATTCATATTTTACCCATCAAATTGATCATAGTGTTTGAAGTTAGATATATGGGACGAATCTCCTTTCTGTAAATTTCAGCCGTGCTGTCTGTGTTGACACTCACAACACCAAAAACAATGAAAAACACACTGATTAGTGAATGGCTGTGTGTGAAAGTCTGCAAATTCTGGTATTCTGTTATCTAGCTGAAAACTGGTAATATTGGTATTGGTAATACTGGTGTATTAACCCTAATTATGTGTTACTTGTTCCACTATTCTAATATGTCATTTCAACATTCCATATCTGTAATTGAAATAAAATTATTGAATTTTGTTCCTTAGTTCCTGAAATTTATAGAAAATGTGTTTAATATGGACAACAGTGCCAAATTTTCTTCTAGTGGTGGAAATCTTAAATAAAAATTTTCCTAAAAATTGAAACTGCATATTCTGGACAGTATGTATACCAAATTTAGTTGGGATTTGCCTGATAGTTCTTTCTACAGGAATGCTGAACACTACTATTTAATTTTGATTATCCTGTAGTCCTTATGTTTGATATATACTTTAAGTTTATTGGCAAAAGACAGTCTGAATAGCTCTGTCTACCTGGTGGGAATGGTATGAACTCCAGCAAGGCACCCTTTGTTTGTTTTTTAAGTATGGCTGTAGGATTTACTTGTTTACGAGGGCTGTTTGGAAAGTTCGCGGCCGC